TTACAAAAATGATTGTCTTCCTGAGCTTGGTCCTCCGAAGAGTTGTGAGACACAGCTGGGTAATCACAACTCTAAGCCATTGGAGATTTATTTTATTTTTCATGAGTTCCAGTATTTTCCTAACACATATTTAACTAAACAGCCATGACCTGCTCAAAGGAGCTCTGCATTTGTTGTGCAGGTAGAACTAAGCCTGAAACAAGGAGCAAAGTAGATGCCAAAAGTTTGTACAGCGAGAGTCTGAGCACTGACCTTATTGAACAGATAAATACAGTTATGCATAAACAAATGTAGTCTGTTGGCTGCTGCAGATATCCAGTACACTAAATGAAGCGGGGAAACAAGTTAAATGGGTCAAGCTTTTATTATTTTCAAGACTTAAAATAGCAAAATGTTGTGCTCTTGGGGAAAAATGCATTGGCTCTTATGTTATTTTAAAGGTAGTTCAGCATGAAGAAATACAATCTTACTACATTTCTTAAATAAATGTATTTCTTTACTTATTTCATTTTGTATATAGAAGAGCTGTAAAAATGGTGAGCAGTATAAACACTAAAACCAAAAAAGCTTGGGATAAGACAGGAACGATTTTTCCTGTCAGAGCTAAACATTGTTATCAAATGGAAGTTAAGAACTGATATCAGTATGTGAGTAATTAAAAGTATTTTTACAAAGAAGCCTGCCAGACTCTCTTTTGCATGCACATATAGAGCTGCAGTAGTGTTATTAGTGTTACCCTACTAGTAGTGTTATCTAATCCAACATAAGCATTTGGATGACATAAAAATGAGGAGTTTTAATCTCTCCATTTAGTTATTCCTGATTTCATGAGAGTTAAGCTTTGAAATGAGACCCGAATTAACTCCCTGAACTTCTGGATGATGCAGAATATCAGGTCTTTACCCATCCTGTAGTTTTTTAACTCAAAAATATAGAGAACTCCAAGTTCCGTTTCCAGGATTTGGAAGCTGATTTCTTATGCATCCTCAGCCCTCTGTCTGCATTTGCTTTTAGCTGCAACTTGCTTTCTATTTCTCTTTCCCCCTCTCTGTTCTTTTAACCACAAGAAATACTCACTCCTCCTTCTTAAAATAAGAACAATTAAATAGCACTCTCAAATTAAGGCCTTTAACCAAAAATGGGAAGAAAAATAAGATAGAAGAAATCTGTTTTTTACAAAATTTTCCTTAAAACAATGACTAAACATAACAATCTCTGTAGCTATCTGATAAAAGGAGTCAATTGGAAACACCCATGTGAAGCCATGACACATTTTGCATGACCTTGAGTTAATTTTTGCCTTGCTACTTTCAAATTAATTATGTTACCCACATGAGACTCCTCCTGGCACTTCGTTAACATCTGGATGGCCTCATTATATTTTTTACTCAAAAGTCTGTATATTCTTTTGGAATAAGTGATTGTTTCCCTGGATAAGTTTTTACTCAGGTGAATTTTCTTTGTTTCTGTCATTAATTTTTCCTTTCTCACTGCAAGAAACATTTTGTTTAACTCTTACATAAATATAAGAGTATTAATTACTATTAAACTTCTGCTAGTAATGCCTAGAAAGCATCGGATGACAAGGAAATAAAAACTGTTGCTTTCTTTGTTAAGGAAGATCAGTGGATGACGACAATGAACAACACGTAGCTAGGATTTACTGTCCTACTTTTTCTCTCATCAGACATAAATTAATATTCTGTGTCCTATCTATTCTACCATTTCACATTATGGATAGCTGACTCTTCCTCTAGCTTCCTTAAGTTCTCTTTTTCAATATAAACAAAATTTTGCTTCCTTCTGCAATCAGAGCGATTTTCAAATCAAACTCTGAGTGTAAGAAAGAGCACTGTCTTATATTGGAAAATATGCAAAAGTTATTTTGGATGTGGGAACAGAAAAATATGCAAATAATACAATAAATGAAGTTTAAACAAGCTGATATTTGTCCTTAGAAAATATTATTTGAGTTATTCAAATCCACTAGCATTAGAGCCATGACATTTTTGGAGTCAGGCTAGGATGTGCCAACTCTTCACCTGATTGTTTAAATGTTCCAAATTCTAACATATTTTAATATGACAATTTTATCAGAAACACCCTTGGTGATTGTGCTTTCTCAGATCCAACACAATAACCGGCTGTTGGAGCAAGCTGCAGATAGAGACATCTAGCAAAACTGGAGTTACAAATCCTGTATTCTTGATCATACTGTGTTGTGGATGCCACTGTGTAGATCAAAGAGTTGATTAAGTAACAAAGGTTTCCAGGAAAAAAAAACTTCCAACCAGTGCTGATGTTTACACTTCATGCAACGCACTTGAACAATTCAAACAGATGAAAAGGAAAAGGAGAAAGGCAGCCCAAACATCTGAATGTGATTGCCTGGAAAAGCGTTGTGGTCTGTATGTAACTTCAACTGGTCAGAGATGCTATTCTGCCTCTGAAAGCAGTTATATTTAGAAAAGAAAGAAAGTGCTTATTTAAATGCAAAAGCTTGTCCAAATATTTTTAAACTATTTCTTTCAGGGCATTAAATAATACTCAAATGTCCCTTAAAGTCAAACTTCCACTGAACTAAATCAGTGCAGTCTGTTTGCAGATACAAAATGATCCTGCTACACTGAGCTCCTCACTGTATCATGTGTCACTTGTGACAGCTGTGGTGCATATCTATAACACTAAGAAATAGCAGCTACATTCACCAGAGAGGCAACCGAGCTCTCATGTGCTGGTTGGCCATTTCCCAGATTTTCAGGCTGTTTGTAGTTCTTTGTCATAACAATGACATTCACGCCCTTTGTGTTCCTCTAGCAAGATAGGAAAGTTATGCTTTATCATTACTGGAAAAATGATGCTTCTTCTCAGAAAACATTACTGTTTCTAGAATAGTCCATTGTCGGTCTTCTCTTTACCCTCTGTTAGATTATACTCACACAGATTCTTATATTAAATCCTTTCATAATATGATTTCCCTATTGTGAATTCCTGTAGTAACTACATGCATGCTATGTGATTGGGAAGGGAGGGAGAAGCTATTTGATTTGTGCATGCATGAAGTGACCCTCTCTCTTTTGTAAGTTGTGGTGGATGTTGCAAAATAGTTTGACGGTAGTTGTCCCAGCTTTTGTGTTAGACTGGTGAGAACATTTGGCTCAAGCTCCTGACACTTAAATCCCCAAATGTTGACTATAACCTGCAAGAAAGAAGATCTTTTCTTATACCTGTTCTAGATGTCAGTAGTGAAATAAGGGACTCTAGTCTAAACTATAATTTAGAATTCTGGAAAAAATATTATTTTCTGTCCTAACACAATAAAGTTATAAGATTTTTTTTGGAGTGGCTTATTAATAAACTGTATTGTGTCAAGGTAGGATTGAGCTGTACAATAACAATACCTCTATCAATAAAGTATCTGCCGATACCAATTTAAAAGTCTTCACTGTAGTCAAATTAGGCATGCATCCATTCACTTCACTTTACTTCTTATCCACATATAGTTGTAGATTGGATTTTTCTGGGTAGAAAAGGAACCAGAGGCATGAAAAGAGAACCAGCTAACTTCCTGGTCCTCCTGTTTAATTACATTTG